GAGTCAAGGTCAATGTAGTTAGGTCGATGCAGTGTCAGTGTAGACACAGTATTACTTACATGGACTGTTAGTGGCCTCCAGGAACGTCCCACCCTGTCAGCTCTGGTCACCCTTGTGAACTCTGCTGCCCTGTGGCCAGCTGGCCAGGGAACCACCCCTCCCCTTTAAAGCCCTGTGGATTTTTGAAATTCTATTTCCTGGTTGCCCGGCTTGGAGAACACAGCTAGCACCTGTCCAGCTGACCGTGCAACTACACGCTGAGTGTGGAGTACACAGGAGGCATTGGAGCTCCTGTGTCTGTGGGGAGGAGACCCAGCTCCGACCCAGCCGTAGAAACATGGACAGCTACAAGCAGATTGTTCAGGGCCCGGAGGAGAAGGGCTGCAAGAGGGACCAGCCGCAGTGGCCTGTGAAAGCCAAGAAGCCGCGGAAGGCGTACTGGAAGGTGAGGGAGGCTAACAAGCACTCGGGAGCTGTTCTTACAAAGAGCTGCAAGCCATTCTCAGAGCAGACCTCATCACCAGTTCAAGAGCCCTGTGGATACTTCGGAGGAGACAGAGACAGAGACAGAGGCCCCCACCGTGAACAGCGAGGAGGAGTATGGGGGACAGGTGACCCGGGGTCCAGCTGTGCAGCAAGCCAGGATGTGGTTTTTGAATGAAACAACCAAGAGCGGTAGAGTTGTGCTCTGCTTCCCAGCCCCTCGAGGGGCCCCGCGGAACAGTGTGTTTATAGGCACTGGGATGTCCTGTGAATCCTCTGTCGATACCTCGATGAAACTTTCCTGCTAGGGTGACCAGAGAGCAAATGTGAAAAGTCGGGACAGGGGGTGGGGGATAATTGGAGCCTATATAAGAAAAAGACCCAAAAATCGGGACTATCCCTACAAAATCAGGACATCTGGTCACCCTATTTCCTGCAGGTAGTCTGCAATCCTCAGCTGCAGATTTTGGCCTTATTTCTCCTGCCGCGGGAGGACACTTTCCCACACCGCTCACCGATTACTTCAGTGGGAACCATGCAGCATACAGACTAGCCGCATGTGAACCCGGGCGGCACCCTGATTCCTGCAGGAGCTGATCCCGGTCAGCCTCCGTTATCTCACTCCTGAGGATATTAGTTAAAATCACCAGCAACGGTGCCAGTATTCCGTTCAATTGCCCTGTGCACATATGCTCATGCCCATGAGCTATCCCCGCTCATTTCCCCGATTCACCGGCTGCCGTACTCACCAGGGCTGGCGCTGGGTCAGTCCCAAGGAGACGTGAGAGTGTAGTGCTTACAACTTGTGTGGATCAAAGGGGGTAAGTTCAGTATCTTAAGTTTCGACTTCTGTCGTGAATACACTGACAACGGTAGGTACCTCTGTGTAGTGTATCTTCAGCAGCTGGAAATGCGGATGGAGACCCCCCTCATGGCCACCCCAGCAGAATGGCTGAGCCAGCTACGGAGAAGAAGGAAGAGGACTAGAGCTGACATGTCCCAAGAGATCCTGCAAGTCTCCACTGCTTCAAATAAGGAGCCCAGGGCTTGGAGTTCACCCTTGCAGGCGACATGGGCAGGGGCAGAGCGGAGAGGAGAGAGGAGAAGGAGAGGGATGTGCAGCAGGCAATACTTGTGCGTCTCAGGCAGCAGACAGACATGCTGCTGACTCTGGTGGACCTGCAAGTTCAACAGTCCTGTGCTCACCTCCCTCTGCCGCCCATGGGTGGCTGGTGACCCGGCGGTTGGGGGAGGCTACCCCCAACCCCTCCCCTTGTGCCCAAGGCCCCAACCCTCCCCATCTGCCCTCTCCCCCACAGGAGCCCAGAGCACCCCCACTGCAGCCCCTGGCCCCAACCCGGATGCCCCAGGCTGCGTGGCCACGGGGGCCAGCCCTGGAGTGCTGGGCAGCTGGGCCATCTCCAGCCCCGGTGCGCCGGGTAGCGCGGCCCCAGCACCAGCTGCCAAGTCCCTGTGGGAGGCAGGCCAGCCAGCCTGGGCCAGCCAGGGCAGAGCGCTGGGAACTGCAGGAGGGGGCCTGGCCTGGGGGCAGAGCATGGGCTGGGCCAGGCTAGGCTGTTCGGGGAGGCACAGCCTCTCCCTGCCTACGATGCCCACCGCCCATGCTGCAGCCCCTAGAGAACTGCATATCGGGACTTTCTTATATCACACCCCCACATTCCATGGGGCGTCCAAGGCTGCTGCACTACTCCTACCACTCCGCCCAGGGGGAGAGTACAGACAGTCACAGCCGCACATACGCCAACCGTGTCTTTCACAGTTCAGCATAAGTGCATCTGAAATAGAAATGACCGTTCTTTTTCCCTTAATTTATTAAGCTATAAATGTTGTTCTATCCACATTGTTACGCAATAAAAATGTGGTTTTGGAAACATAATTCATCTTTATTAGTTCATCATTCACAGACAGCATTAATAGGGGCATTGGCAATGTTATATTACTGCACACACAGCACTCACCCAAGGGTTCATACAGGGCTGCAAAAGAGCAAGGCCAGGCAGAGCACACAACAGCAACACACACTACTCTGCCTCCCTGGGCCGATTAGCTCTGCACTGACCTCTTCTTGTGCCCGGCTGGTCAAAATCAGCAGACAGCCACTTCACCTCCACCTTCCACCCCGGTGGAAACTTCCCCCCCTTTGCTTCACAGCTATTATGCAGGACGCAGCCGGCAGCTATAACCATTGGACTTTTTTCCCCACTGACGTCAATCTCGTGAGTAGACAGCACCAGCAACCCTTCAGCCAACCAAAGGCACATTCAACTGTCATTCTGCACCCGCTCCGCCCGTAGTTGCACCTCTCCTTGGTGCTGTTGAGGTGGCTGGTATGAGCTGTGGGAGCAAGGGGTAGGCTGGGTTTCCCAGGATCGCTGTTGGCATTTCAACCTTGCCAATGGTAATCCTCCTGTCGGGAAAGAAAGTCCCTGCTTGCAGCTTTCTGAACAGTCTGGTATTCTTAAAGCAGGCGCATCACTCACCTTCCCTGACCAGCCCCCATTGGTGTTAGTAAAGCCTCCCTGGTGATCCAGCAGCCCTTTCGGTTGATGCACTCTGTGGTCTGGTGCTAAAATAGGGATATGCATGCCAGCTCTCGCCCCACTGCAGTTTGGGAACCTCATTGCTGCAAAACCAACCATGGCCCATGTCACAGTCCTGCGCACCAGGAGGCGATTCATGGCCGTGCACACTTGCACCACAACAGCCCCTGCGGTGGATTTCCTGACTCCAGCCGGTAATCTGGCATTGCAAGTTTCCACGGTGCGACTGCCACTTGTTTCTCTACTGTCAGTGCAGCTCTCATTTTGGTATGGCTGCACTGGAAGGCTGGGGCGCGCTCTGCACGCAGATCCAGGAACGAGACCTTACCCATCCGCAAGTTCTGCAGCCACCGCTCGTCATTCTGTACGACAATGTGATCCCACCAGTCAGTGCTTGTTTCTCGGGCCCGGAACCAGCACTCCACCAACGGAAGCTGCTCCGTGAACGCCGCCAACAACCGTGAATTGTTTCTTTCTATGTCCCACAGCAATCTAGCCTCCAAGAAATCATCCTATTCCTGCAACTCCCCTTGCAGCTCTGCAAATACTGCAGGATCAGGCACCCTGGGCTCGCAACGCTCAGCACAACGGTGCAGAGTTGTGTGGGCTCCATGGTTGTCGCAGATGGCGGACAGCAAGAAGGGACACATGAGTTTGTATGGGTGATTTTGAACAGCGGTGCGAAACATTATGGGATGCAGATGAAATTATGGGATGGAGAACACTGCATTATGGGAAGTTGAGCCCATGTTCCCAGTCACCCCGCGTGACTTGTTTCGGCCCCATGAGGCATTGTAAAACCTTCTCAAAACACCCTGTGCTACAGTGGTGATGAGTTACCCAGTGCACCGCTCTCTGCATCAATGCCAACGCTCCTAGCGAGGACGTGCACTGCAGACACGAGCAGCGCAGTGTGGACGTGCACAAGTGGCGTAATAACTGCAGGGACTGTATGTCTGTCACTTAGCTGGACATAATTTCGTACTGTAGACCTGTCAAATCAATCAGGAATTGACTTAGAAGACAAACTGACATACCTGTCCAGGGAGCCTTTGGCACTAACTTAACTGAGGTGGTTTAAAATCACACCTTTGTGCAACTTTCTCATGTAGATCTGTCCTTAGATCTCCGGGGTGGGTGGGGGGGGATTTGTGCCCCTCTCCCTTCCCCCCAGCTCTGCCCCAATGAATAGCCCTTGGTGCTGGCCTGGAGCCTTTTCTTTGCCAGTCCCTGTCCAGCCCAGCCCCGAAGCCCCCAAACCTCAGGGATTTAAAATGAAACGGATCCAAAGAGCGAAACAAAGGAACCAGGTGGCGAGGGAGTCTGAGGAGCGGAGGGAGGGAAGGAGCCCGCGGGGTGGGGAGTGGCGGTGCAGGGGCCGTGGGGCGCGGGGGGACGCGCCGCGGGTGGGCTGGTTTCCTGCGGGGGCCGCGCAATTCCCCTTTTATGGTAAAGCGGCGGCTGCGGGCGGCGGGCGAGGCAGGCTGCGGGGGGGAGGAAGGGGCGATGATGTCAGTGGGGCGGCTCTGCCTTGGCTCCCCGGCCCCCCGCGGGAGGCGCGGCCGGGCAGGAGCGCCAGGGGCCGCGGGCAGCCGTGCGCCGCGCAGGGGCTGGGACCAGGACCGGCGCACGCCGCCGCGCAGCCAGCAGGGACCCCGGGCAGCCGCCCGCCGGTGGGCCAGGTGAGGGGGACAATGGGAGCCGGGCTGGGGCGGGGGCAGATGGAGAGGCCACGGGGTGGGGCTGATCGGAGCGGGGCAGCCCGGGGGGCCCAGCGCTCCCGTCTAGGCTCTAGGAAAGGGGCCGGGAGTTGGGGGGGCGGTTAGCTGTGGGGGCTGGGTAGGACCCCCCCCCCCGCGCCCCGGGGCTGTGTTTATTGTAGGACCCGTTTGTCTAACCCTTTGTTTTTCAGATCTGCTCATTGCCCCAGCCAGGGGTTCTTGCTGGAGTGACTGGACAGGCTCCTGTCCCAGCGCCCCGGGACTGGGGGTTGGCTGTGTGGCACAGGGGGGCCCTGTCTCTGTTCTCACCCAGCGGGTGGCGATATTTTGGGGTCACTCTAATCCCCATACAGTGCCTAGGCAGTGCGGGGATATGGGGCAGCGGCTTTACATGTGCTGTTAGATTAGCTAGATGCTGTTTCTGGGGGGGCTCAGATGTCCCCCCCCAACTTCCCCTCTGCACAGCTCAGGCTGTGGGGGAGATCTCAGCTTTACTCGCCGTTTCCTCACCAAGAGCCCCGTACCAGCCTCTCGCCCAAAGGCCTCAGTGTGCTTTGCAAATGAGCCTCGCCTCGCAGCGCCCTGGAAGGGAGGCCTGAGCTCAGTGATTCGCAAACTTTTGTCCTGGTGACCCCTTTCACACAGCAAACCTCTGAGTGTGCCCCCCCCCCTTATCAATTAAAACATTTCTTATGTATTTAACACCATTATAAATGCTGGAGGCAAAGCGGGGTTTGGGGTGGAGGCTGGCAGCTCGCGACCCGCCATGTAATAACCTCATGACCCCCAGAGGGGTCCCAACCCCCAGTTTGAGAAACCCTGATCTAGCCCCATTTGGCAGCTGGGGAAACCATCAGGAAGAGCTGTCTAATCCCTTTCCCAAGGGGACATGGTGAGTTAGCATCAGAGGCGGGCATAGAACCGGGGAGTCCCGACTCCCAGTCCCCTGCTCTACGCTCTAGACATGCTGCTGCGAACGTCGTGAAGCGTGCGCCGGAGGCAGGCATTCGCTCCCCGGCCTCCAGTGCATCTGAGCATGGCTGTCAATGCCAGGATCTGATCCCTGGGCAGGCTGAACGCGCCCGCTGTGCTGTTAATAACTGCTCCTGGGGCACGACAGGAGACAGGCTTCCTTCCAAGCTAGGAGGACCCCAGCAGAGCCAGCGCAGCCGCCTAAGACACCCCTCTGTTGTTGATCGGGAGTTCCTGTTGGGTTGGAGACCTATAACACGTCCAACCATTGCATTAGACCCCATCCAAACAGCACCTGCACTGAGCTAATAGGCTGCGTTCTGCAGGCTCCCTCCCTCCATCCTTTAAGGGGGCTGATAACCTTCTGACCGCCTGCCTGGCTGGTATCTGACTCCCCCAGGAAGGAGGGGACGTTGCTGTGTGGACATGAGGAAGCCGTAAGCTCTGCAATGAGGAATGTAACCATCAATGGTTCATATTAGTCCCTCGGTGCCCAGCCAGCCTAGCCCTTCAGTAGCCAAGGGGCAACTTGGCTTGTTAGGGAGAAATCTGATGGCCACCAAGGCTAGGGTTTAAGTAGTTGGGTGGAGGCTGGCCATGAGATAGTCTTCAGTAACCTTAGTTTGCTTTCACTGACTCTCCGGTAGGTAAGAGCCTCACCCTTCTTTCCCCACCTTAATCAGGTGCTTAGTCACTGGAGGCTTTAACACACAACCACTGTGTAACTAATCTCTAGATAAGATACATATCTGGTACCATCGCCTTGGTATCTGAGCACCTCCCCCTCGCTAGGGGATTTAGCCTCACACATCCCTGCAAGGCCAGGCTGGACGGTTATCCCTGTTGTACAGAGGGGAAACTGAGGCACAGATCCACCAAGGGACTTAGATGCTTAACTCCCCCTGGCTTGCCCAAGGTCACCCAGGCAGTCTGTAGCAGAGCGAGGAATTGAACACAGGTCTCTCAAGTCCCAGGCTATTACCCAAGCCGCTGGGCCATCCTTCCCAAGTTATTGGGGGTTTGTGTGATCAATTGTGGGAGAGCCTCCCCACCTCTCCTGTGCACATGGTTTGTCCCCTGTGAAGTGCTGGTATTCCAGCAGCAGGGCACGTTGCATGGGGGTTGGAAGGGAGGGATTCAGGATAAGTATTCTGGGGGCGGGGAGGTCTGTTTCCAGCCATACACAGACACTTAGGCGCCCTGATGCAATGGTGATGGGTCCAGTATGAGAACATGGGCAGACGGACTGTGGGTGGAAGGGGGCAACGGTTGTTTTTTAACGGTAGGGATCACAAGCACACGGGCCCTGCCACGGCCTAGGATGTCGAGTTGTATTGACTGACTCCCCTCTGAGGCTGAGCACAAGTATTTATCCCCCGGTACCAGTGGGGAGGAGTACAGGCCTCTCTCTGCTCTAGCTGCAGGGGCTATTCCAGTATTACTGGAGCAGCCGACCACAGTCAGGCAAAATCATCAGTGACAGGAGACTCCACTTTTCTTGTGCCTTGTTTATTCCTGAAAGGCAAAGCAGAAAAGTCTGCGGAGGCCCGAGTGTTTTGTTCCATTCCTCTCTCGGTTTCCTTTGAGAATAAATGCCAGATGCAGTTTTGGCCCCTGGGGGCTGGGCTGGGCCCCGTATAAACATGGTTCCAGATGAAGTGGTTTCCAGCATGGCTTGGCCAGTCGGTAAGGGAGGAGCCAAACAAGGTTAAAAAGAGCTGTACAATCCAGCGCTCCAGCCCGTGTCCTCGGTGCTAGAACGGATTGGTGTGCAGAGCTGTTGTTATGACATAAAGGTGCTGCAAATGGTGGTTGGGGCAGGAAGGCACCGGAATGTCCGATATTCTGGGAATGCGTGAGTGGCCACCCTAGTGCTAGGCCCTATGGGATAGGTGCTTCAGGACTCCCAGAATGCACTGGTTCAGCCCTGGTTGCAAAGCACACTAGGTGTGGACGCACCAAAAGGGTTATGTCAAGCAGGAACCTGCTAGACCACCAGAAGGACCAGCGGCACCACCAGCGCTTCCTGCATCTGATGCCCCCGCTGTGGTTTCTGGGCTTAGCATAGGTCTCACCCTGTGACGGAGCATAGTGGCTTTTAGGGGCTCGGACAGGAAAGTTTGCGGCCTGACAGCCTTTTCCCCCTCCGCTCCCCCGGGTAGCCCTGGGGAAGAAACCCCTGCCTCTACCACAGGATCTTACCCTGGCCAGCAAGGGTTAAACAGCTAGGTTTGCTCGGTGGGTGGAGGGCAGTTAGGAATTCTGTAACCAGCTGACCTTGCCTGAGAGCCGGGAGCGCTCGGCCTTGGGAGTGCCAGTGGCCAGGCTTAGTTGCAGCTCCTAGTTAGATCCCTGAATACCATGAAAAAATCCCTTTTTAGAGTTGCCACAATTTCCATCATCCCTCCGCAGCCGGCTCCGTGCACCTCCGCTCCTGCTGACGAGCAGTGCGGCCTCACGAGCCCCGTTGCAACGCCAGTCACTCAGATTTGGCCCAATTTGAGTGAGTGGCGTTGTGACCTAGTGCCTGGGGTCACAACGCCGGGGCACCCTTTCCAGGCTGTTCTTGTCGGGGGGGACAAAGGTGCATGGAGCTGGCTGTGGATCGGCTGGTCCCTGCTAGTGGCATCGGCATCCAAGGGCTGGCGGTTGGAAATGAGCCCCCTACAGCCTGGCCTGTAGTGAGCTGGATAAGGGCCGGGGGAGCCTGTGCCACCACCGCTGGGATAGGGGTGCCCGGTCCATGCACTCCTGCCCCCTCCAGGCTGCAATGACAACTCCCTCCTGGGAAACCCTGGGGCCAGGGAGCAGGGCTGGATGTGGGGCAGAGAGAGGAGAGCAGGGCAGGGTGTCGGGATTTCTATTCTCTCATTTGAGGTATTTTTTTTAACATAAATGTACTAAAAAGAAATAAAACCACATATTTCATGGGTAACATGAAATAACCTGAAATTCTCCCCCAAAAACTGAAAATTTACAAAAGATAGAAGGAATTTCCGGGGGTTCACTGCTTGTCTCTCCCAAGCAGCCGGCCTGAGACCTCCGACAGTGGAGCCCGAGGTTGGTCAGGTCTAGTAAGAGCCTAAATGAAACCCAGCGGCCAGGAAGAGGGGAGATGTGGGCCTGTGCCTCTTTTCTTGAGCTGGAAGCCTGGGTGCGGTTACAGGAACATGGTTGCTGTCAGACTGGATCAGAACCAAGGTCCATCTAGCCCAGGGTGCTGCTTCCAACAGTGGCCAGCAGCCGAGGTGGGATAATCCGCCCCTCACTTAGTCTCATCCTGGTCTCCAATAGCTAGAGATTGGTTTGAAGCTCTGTCCACACAGCCAGATGGTGCTATGGAGCGGGAGCGGTGCGGGCCCTGCGTCCCATGCTAGTTCCCCATCTCGCAGGGCTGGCTCGCTCTCCTGCAGCTGAAGGGAAGGTGATTCCTGGGGGCCGGCCCAGCCAAAAAGGACCCTAGAACCCTGCTCCAGCCTGAGCCCAGATGTTTACACAGCAATGGAACAGCCCTGCGAACCCGAGTTGGCCAGCACGGGCCAGCCATGGGTGTCTAGTTGCTGTGTAGAGTAGACAGACCCTCTGTGTCTCAGCCCTCCTCTTAGTAAATGGGGGGGATCCCTCCCGCGGGGGGTGATGGGCGTATTAAGCAGCGCACCATGTATGTCGGATGCACTCGGTGAGACCCCGGGGGGAGGCAGAGCAGGGGCTTGCACCTGGGTTTGCTATATCCCAGATGAGGGCCCTAAACATGGGGCTGTTGGCTATTCTGGGGTGTCTTGCTCTTGTTTTTGTGACCCAAAACTTGGAAGTTCTCATTTTCGTTCCCAAGCAAAACAAAAACAAGTTTGGAAACCTCAGCACGTTTTGTAAGCTGGGTGGTTGTTGTTTATTTTCCAGCTAACCCTAACATCAGTTCTCGTTGCTTTCAGCGGTGATGTGGGCAGCCAGGGTGGGGCCCACACGAAGGTGAAGGCCCCAGCTTTAAA